GAATCTTGAAGAAGACATTCTAAAGTAGCTCAGGGCTGTCAATAATGCCATTTATAATTTTAAACACACAACAAACATCATATTGCCTTCTCCTTGTTTTTAAAGTTTGTAGACCTAAAAGTCTATGAATATTTCCATAATTAATATCTTCTATTGAATACCCCAGCTTGAAATTCACAAACCTTATAAATCCTCTCTGAACTTTTTAGAAGGAGTTAATACATACATTATAACAAGGACACCAAACAGAACACGCATACTCGAGACTAGACTTAACATAACTGCAATAGAGGTTCATAAAACAATTCAAATCATTGAAATTAGCTAAAGTACGAATGACAAATCCTAGCATTATTATAGCCTTATTCCTTATGTAGTATATATGATAATTAAGATCAATCAAGATCTCTCATCAACCCTTTCCAATGTTTTTTTCTATACAGTAATTGTAATTTATTCTTTTTCTGGATAGGTATAGTTAACCCTTTACATTTAGTTATTTATTAAGATTCAAGTCCATGCCATTAAAGCTACACTATTGAAAAAATAATCTTCAGCAAACAGAAGTTTCCTGCTAAATCCAAATTGATTTATGAGGTCATTAATAAATATGTTAAATAAAAGAGGAGCATGGTGAGTACCTTAAGGAACTCTCGAGGATACAAGAATTTCTTTGTATGTATAATAGTCTTCAATAATTTCAACTGCTTGCTTTCTATTTGTTAAATAACTTTTAAACCAGCAAAGCAAAGAATATATAAGTATTGGGTGCTGAATTCTGTCAAAGGCCTTGGAAAAATCGGTGTAAATTGAATCAGCCTGACACTGTTCCTCCAAGGCCTCCAACACAAACGCATTGTATATGAGTAAGTATGTCACAGTAGATCGACCTTTTACAAAACCATGTTGCGCAATAGATATAACATTATGAAAGGTACCAGGGCCTATTTTTTTTCATTTTTTTTTTTTTGACATAGAGTTTGGCAAATCATAACTTTTAGATCTTGTGCGTACAAATTTCCAAAACATCTTAGAATTATCGACTATACTGTTTTTCACCTCACTTATATAATTATTGTAGCATTCTTTAGTTAATATTTCACATTTTCTAGTAAAAAAGTTTTTTCCGGGCTATAATGCCGTGGTAGTATTTCTACCTAACGTTTCGTCTACTTCTGCGGTAGACATCTTCAGAGGCGGTATGGTAGAGGACGAAGTGTTCTCTTCCGTGTTCCTCCGATGACTGGATTCGACGTTGTTGGACCTGCATTATTTATATCCAGGGTTGTGGGCGTGGCTCGTATTACGCTATTTTCCTTGTCTCGTTCTCGGAAAGGAAGGGTCGTTGTTTTTCGGAGAACTGGCAACCAGCTTTTATTGAGGTTCATGCCCTCTTCTTTTCTGTTGAAGTTGTTGTGGTGTATCTCTATGGCTTCTCTGTGGAGTCGGGTGTAAAAATGTTTCGTTCTATCCAATGCTGGAGTCTGGTCGAAACGAATTACATGGTTTGTGTAAGTACGTGTTCAACGATTGCTGATCTATCTATTGGTCCCCGCTGACAGTTTCTTTCGTGCAAACTATATCCTGGGTTCTATTGAGTTTAGATGATTAAGGAAATTTTCGAGCTCTGCCTCACCATGGTTCAAAACAACAAATGTGTCATCTACATAGCGAAACCAACAAGTAGGTTTCTTTGTGGCCGTTCGCAGTGCCATTTGTTCGAAGTGTTCCATGTAGAAGTTGGCGATAACCGGACTTAGTGGACTTCCCATTGCGACTCCATCTGTCTGCTCAAAGAATTCATTTTGCCATTGAAAGTGCGTAGTCGTCAGACATTGGTGAAAGAAATAAGTTGTTGATTTCCTCCGGAAAAAAATCTTTCAGATACTCTAAGGCCTGATTCACTAGTACCTTAGTAAACAATGAGACGACATCAAAACTAACCAGAATGTCGTTTGGTAGAAGAGTGATGTCACTGATCTTTTTGATGAATTGAGCATTATAGCCCGGAAAAAACTTTTTTACCAGATTTGATCGACCGTGATTTAATCTTACGAGATCCAATAAGTAATGACCCTAAAAAAGACTCAAAGACCACCGCAAACACTTTTGCAAACCAGAGAAAACCTTACAAACATGCTAACATTGCCCATAGAGACAATTAACAATAATCAACTCACTGTCATTAACATAACAACAGAAAAAGTCACCACAGCTCTAAGTAGCTTAAAAACCTATTCAAGCCATTCAAGCTCAAACTGAAAAAAGAAGTCAAAAAGTTCTTAAAAACCAAGAATATCAAGGTTGGAGACGATGAATTTGTTACAAAAATGGCGGTGCTAAAAGATGAAATGAAGCAGCGAATAGCAGTGCTGGGGAAGAGATTAAGAAGGTACAACAAAAGCTACAAAAGAAGAGAACAAAACAAGACATTCTTTAAAAACGAAAAAGCGTTCTACCACGAATTGATCACCAACAAGCAAAAGATTCCAAAGACACCAGACAAAAATGAGCTCACGGAATTTTGGAAAAATACATGGAAAACAAAAGGTGAACATAACAGAAGAGCCACATGGTTGAAAGTTGAAAGCTGAGAGGAAGACCTGCGAACGGGTAGAAGCTATGAAAAAAGTTGAAGTCACAGAGAAGCATGTCAAAAAAATTATTGGAAAGCGGCAGGAGTTGACCATTTGCACAACTACTGGTGGAAGAACACAGCGATATGGAAAATGTTAGCAGTACCTACAAATCAACCGTGTTCTAAACAACAAAGAAACAATGCCTGGATACCTGACAAAAGGAATAACATTCATGATCCCTAAATCTGAAAAAACAGAAGAACCTAAGAACTACCGCCCCATCACATGCTTGCCCACCTTGTATAAAATAATTACATCCGTCATAGCAAATAGTATAGAAAAACACCTTAGTGGACAGAAGCTAATTACTGAAGAGCAAAAAGGAAGCCGAGCACGAATACAAGGATGCAAAGAACAGCTCTTGATAGACAGCGTGATTACACAAGATGCGAGACATCGTCAAAGAAATATTGCCGTGGCTTGGATCGATTACCAAAAGGCATTCGATTCTGTACCCCATAGCTGGCTGATCGAAGTCCTGGAAATATACAAGGTACACGAAGGAATTGTGGAGTTTCTTAAAACATGTATGGGAACCTGGAGAACAAAACTGCTTATTAATACAGCAGAACAACAAATAACAACCGAGGAAATACCCATACAGAACGGAATTTTCCAGGGAGATTCGCTTAGCCCATTGTGGTTTATACTCAGTCTCAATCCTCTATCCAAAGCTTTGTGTCAATCGGGTCTGGGATACAAACTCAAGAATGGTGAGCAGAGTTACATCATATCTCATTTGTTCTATGTAGATGATCTTAAGCTTTACGCTCCAGTCCTCAACTGAGTGGCTACGGAAGGGACAACTGTTTGAAGAAACAGAAGGATTCATGGTAGCAATACAAGATAATGTAATTGCAACAAAAACTCACATAAAATTTGTACATGGAGTGCAGCTGGATAAACACCTATGCAGACTGTGTAACAGACATGCGGAAACAATAGAGCAGGTTATCTCAGGATGTACTTACCTTGCTCCAACTGAATACCTCCAACGACATAATTTGACTGCGAACATAATCCATCAAGAACTGGCAATACTGTGCAACCTGAAAGAACAAAAAGAAAGATACTACAAATATGTACCTTTTCCCATTCTCGAAAACAATACTTACCGTTTATACTGGGACACAACAATACAAACCGACAAAACTGTGGCAAACAACCGACCAGATATCGTGCTTCTCAACAAACAGGACAAGATTGGGTACTTCGTAGATGTTGCTCATCCGAACGATCACAACCTAAATAAAACTTGAGCTGGCAGAAGAATTCAAAATTCAAATCTATTAACAATTTGAGAAAAGTCGAAATTTTACCGATAGTCATCTCTGCAACCGGATTGGCAACAAAAAACTTGAAAAAATACGTCGAAACTCTAAAAATAAATCATAAAGAAGTGTTTCCTGAAATGCAGAAATCTGTCGTATTGGAGACGTGTAGGATTGTCAGGAAGACTCTTAACTTACCTGAAAACATGTAATGGCGAAATCCTGCTGAAATAATCGCAAGTTTGAAGCAGCGTGAATAATCACGAATCCCACGTTGTTGAACAACCCTGCAAAGGAGAAAAAAAATAAATAAATAAAATAAAATAAAATAAAATAAAATAATAAATAGAGAGAGGTATAGATGTTGAGCTATAACATAGCTGAATAACACAATTATATCAATAAATGTGCCATGTTGTCACGTTTAATTATAAAAAAGCGAAAATACTAGGCATGAGTATAGTTCATTTGAAAATCCATTTTTTAATAACAAAATATAGATACCAATAAAACGCTAAAAGTTTCAACGTGGTTGTTAGATCTATTCTTATTCTAATAACTGATTTCTTCAATTTTGTCCATTGTAAAAAATAAACATTTTCTAAAGATACCATCAGTTTTTGACAATTTGGCAAGCATCCGGCCTGGATGAACCTGATTGGTGGAGTTTTTGGCAGGATGGCCGTTGCCATGTCGTTGTCAATGGGCTAAACGTCACCTTACGTCTCGCTATTGGCCAGGGCTTCTGTCATTGTATCCTCCCATCTTGGAATATCGATTTATATTGAAATATCCAGTGGCGGGGGTTTGGTCATTTTCGATTTTCGTGTAAGAGTTGCAATACGATAACACCTCCAAAAAATTCCGCACGCAGCTGGGTATTTTATGAATGGAATCAGCCTTTTTTTTTACAACTGCATTCCCCTTACCGTTGCCCCGTAGACACAGAGTCGCTGGGCAGACATGTTGTAACTGAAGAAGCAATTTAAATATTGACCTTATCTCCAATATTTATTCTTAAATCGAGCCACAAAACTTTTTATGATATCTTACTACATTATTATTTTTAACTTTTTCTTTTCTTCAATAGAACCTTTGATGCTAATGGAGATGGCACCATCGATTTCCGAGAGTTCCTTTGCGCCCTCTCGGTCACGTCCAGAGGGAAACTAGAGCAAAAACTGAAATGGGCCTTTTCCATGTACGATTTAGACGGCAACGGTTACATTTCACGGCAAGAAATGCTAGAAATCGTCACAGTAAGAGATAAAGATCCTTTTACGTGCTGCAATACTATACTTGAGAAACTCTTTGTAGTTTGGCAATTCTTTTACACATTATAGTAATGCAGTATACAACACTTTCTTAGCTGAAACATAATAGAATATGTACTAATAAAATATTTTTTTTCTAAAGGCAATATACAAAATGGTAGGCACTGTAATGAAAATGCCAGAGGACGAGAGCACCCCGGAGAAACGCACCGATAAAATTTTCCGACAAATGGACAAAAACAAAGACGGCAAACTGAGCCTCGAGGAATTTATAGAGGGTGCCAAAAGCGATCCCTCGATCGTCAGGCTGTTACAGTGCGACCCTCAAGCCCAGTAGATATTATATTTTTTCGGAGTTTTGGTTTATGTCCTTCCTCCCTTGCAAACTGACTTAGTAGATAGGTTAAGAAGTTTCCAATTAAATTTCTCTTTGAAAGACTATTGTAAGTGTTGTGCTATTGATTTTCTATTTTTTTGAGTGCTAGAGGTAGTAATTGAAATAAGAGACTCTTGTGTGATTTTGTTGAGCATTATTTAGTGTTACCTCTAGATAGTTTTTAAGGGCTTGTTTTTTTTGGGAAGAAATTATATAATGTCAAGAAAATACTCGCCATTAATCCAAATTCCTATAAGTAATGACCAAGATTGATTTTTCCCTTTGTGTGTGCTACTGCTATGGACTGTTTTTGATTTAAATTGATACTGTCAACAGCAAAATACTTTCCCAAAACGCCTACATAGTGTGATTGGTAAGGAAAGTTGTAGGTTTTTTTCAACCTAACATTTTCTTGCCTTTTAATTTTTTTTATGATTTATTTTAATTATACCTACTAATATAATTAGGATTAAGTTATAGTTGAGACAGCATTTTTCCTATGAGCTCCATCAGTGGAGATTCTAGCAGAAATGCTGTCCCAAAATTGATGTAAAAAGTTTTTAAAAAATTTCTGCTAAAATCGAAATATTAATACGAATAGATAAGAGGAATAATGCATATTTACTCAATGATATTTCCAGAATATACTTGTATATTCGATATTTGTATCATGTAAGTGTTAATGTTTTCAAATTTTTAAATGTGATTCCACTGTGGGGAAGAACTTTGTGTCAAAATTTATTTGGCATTCAAAAGAAAATACGATATGAAAATAATTTACCGTTTTTGCAGAATTAGAAATGAAAAGGTAATTTAGTTGTGACATGGAATCTCCAATAAGGAACTTGAATAGCAGAGTTGATTTCTGATAAAATAAAACTACGTTCTATATTTTATAGGATCTGTATTGAAGCAATAATGTGAAAATTTTGGGTTAATTTTCTTCGCTTTTCCATCACTGATCTCAAAAATAAACGGATAAACAAAGAACGCTTCTAATGCTGCTACTTTACGAGGTCATAATGTTAACAACTGGGATAGCTGTGAGCGTGCGCAGTGAATACATGTACTGTGCGTGCGCAAAATATTGTCCATTAAAATGAAGGATATTTCAAATTCAGAACTGTTGTTTGAAAGATAAGACACTGCGCAGGCGTTAGGCTGTTCCATTGCACAACTGTTCATAGAATATTGACCCCAAAATTTCGCACAAGTTTAGCCATACAATTGCTTATCCATTTATTTTAGAGATCAGTGTTTTCCATCCACAGACGCGTTTCGATCTATCAGATCTCATCAGTGTGGCTAGGAAAGCAAAGAAAAAAAAAGCATTAATGTTTCAGGAAAATAATGGCATAAGTATTAAGGATTTTTAGATTTGTGGAACTTGTAGACAATGTTGTTGCTGCTCAGCAGAAACTTATGAAATTGTAAAACACCCTAAATTTTGTGTGAAAATTTTTAGTTTTATAAACTGAAGAATGTAGCAGACGTAAAATTTAATGTAGAAGCCATAGAAGGTGTTGTAGAAAGACAAAAAAGGACGGTTCTATGAAATTTCTCACTTCTTGAGGTTTCCAGGATCTTTGAGTATTCACAAGTCCACAAGTGTCTTTTACACAGAGTTTAACATATCCAGAATTATTTGTAAATATTCAGAAACGTATCAAATATTCTGTGGAAATTTGTGTTTAAAGTTTTAATAACTTGAATCATTCACAAGTAGTGTATAAAGTCCAAACAAAATTTTGTGAAGCCGATAGAAGTCTCTGTAGTGCCATTAAATATCAATGAATATATGAAATTTGTCGCCTATTTTTTGATTTTTTCGATGGTTCTCTAGGGGTCATTTAAGTTAGCTTAAGCCTGCCATATTTCCCGTAATATACGGGACAGTCCCCTATTTCAAGGTCCATGTCCCGCGTCCCCAAATTTGTTGTCGGGACGCGTAAATGTCCCGTATTCACTGATAATTAAAAAGCGTACAATAATTCGATTTTTGTGTCTCCTTCCCAATCTCTGCGGTGGCATAAATATATCAATTTTTGCGCCTCATCTCTAGTCCTAGCAAATCGCAACGTGGTGGTTATTCGACAGCATTTGACAGTTTAAAATTTGGGGAGTTCAACCCCAAGGATAATACAGACCACTAAAAGATTGCTTATCGGCCTCGATTTTGGTAATCGCCGCCATATTTACTGTATTCCTTTTACCCGTTGAGTTACTCGGAGCTGCTCAATGTCAAAAGCTTGAACGTTCCTTTTAAAAGTGCGTTAAACACTCGAGTCGCTCACAGTGCATCCCCCTTTCCCCTGATGCACCAAATTTGCGGGGGGTGCAAGAAGCCCTTTCAGGTAATGACGGTAACGTTAATATTAAAAAATAAGGATAACATCCATATAAAATCTGAATTCTGTGTTTTGGAGTGACTCCGAGGAGCTCGTTTGGTGTAACTCGATGTATAAAAGGAATACACTAATTGGTGTATCACCATTGCCGACGTCATCAACTAAGTCGTCAACGACGTCAGCTGTTTGCACCAGCAGTCATAGTTTAGAATTTAAATTTATGATGAAAAATATTATTTTTTCTCCGAATGACAGTAAAAGCAGCCTTTTAATGACACTTGACAGGACCAAAAGTTGTATTTTTACTGCCTAGGCAGAAAAAGTGGACTTTTACTGCCTAGGCATTAAAAGTGACAGTGTCACAACGTTCCAGGTAATAATTTCATTCAATTTGGCATTTGAAATTGATGATGACAATGACAATTATTAATAATTATTATTTGGATAATAATAATGAATGGAATAAATATAAAAAAGATGTCCATGTGTGAATTTGAACATTCGGAGAATAAATTATATGTTTTACATGGCAGAAAAGCAGATTTAATGCCGCGGCTGGTGTTTCATAGCCGAGGCTAGGAAACCAGCCGACGGTGATGTGGACAAGACTTGTGCTAACCTAACCTGACTTTGTCCTCCAGCTGTCAGACTTTTCAATTAATTTTGTTATGAAAATTGAATAAAAAACCGCATAACTCGTATGCCTATTATCTATTAATCATAGAAAAAGTATAGTATTCTACTCGTGGGTAATGGCTATTACTCACTCAGATGATTACACTACCTACTCGCCTGCGGCTAGTAGTGCAAAAAGCTGTGGTGCAAACTTTATCCTTCGTGAATAATAGCCATCATTACCCGCTCGTTGAATAATATATTATTAATTTTGATTGACATAATAGGCAAATAGGACGATGCAAACGAGATCTAAAAATAGTGAATGTTAATTAATGTAGTAAAACAAGTATGCATAAAGCAAAAGCCCGCGGAATCATAATCTGTAGTGCAAACAGCCTACTTCAAGGCGAAACCCAACATTCTCCCCCCAACACCCCCCCCTTGAGGACTCTTCCTCAAAACCAAAAAATTATCTTATTTGAGCTTCAATTGGCAAAGGACTCAACTTTGTGATTGGCCGCGTAAACTCCCCTCTAACCGTTTTAATTTTGACAACCCTTACCCTATTATAGCGTCCAGGCATAATCTCAATGACCCTCACTAAACACCACTCCAAGGGAGGCAGATTGTCCTCCTTGACCATATCACCAACACACAAATTAGCTTCAGTACTTTTCCACTTAGGGCGGTGTTGAAGTTGATTTAAATAATTGCGTGACCACAACCTCCAAAAATCTTGCCTTATTTTAGAATAATGTTGCCACAACGACAATCGATTTTCCGAAATTCCTGAAATATCCCTTTCTGCAAATGCCGTTATTGGCCTGTTAGGAAGTGTCCCAGCATTAGACAGGTAAGGTCATCAATAGAATCTGAAGTTGCTGCAACAGCCTCGAATTGAGAATCGCCTCAATTTGTGTAAGCACTGATGTGTAGAGACATTCAAATGGCAGAATACTATTTCCAATCACCCTTTTTAAATGGTATTTTGTGCTCTTTATCCCCGCCTCCCACAATCCACCCCAGTGTGGGCTGTTGGGAGGAATAAATCTCCATTCGATTTGACGAGTTGACAGAAAATCTTGAATGTCATTGCAGTGGTTCTTGAATAATTGAAAGACATCATGCTGAGCCCCTTTGAAATTTGTGGCATTGTCACTTATTATCGAGGCAGGATTACCACGACGAGCCACAAAGCGCTTTAATGCCAAAACAAAATCTTCCGTTGACAAACTTGAAATCAATTCAATATGGATGGCCTTAGTTGCCATACATATAAACAATGCTATATAAGCCTTTGAAACTCTTACTTTTCGTAACTTTGACTCTTTCACCATGATTGGACCACCAAAGTCAATCCCAACAATATAAAATGCACGACTTAGGGCCAAATTATGAACTGACTGGTAAACGTCTGGTTGTTACCTAGCAGGTACTTTCTATGCACTAGAGAATAGAAAGTACCTGCTACGTAACAACCAGACACTTACCAGTTGGTTCATAATTTGCCCCTTATCGTAATGCGTTCTGCAGGTAAATCTCCCATTATTTGTTTAGAAACAATAGCCTTGAATCTATTGCATTTTACACACTTGATAAAAATGCTGATTCACGCTGCTTCAAACATTGAACTATTTTTGAACAACGACCGTCCCTCTTTCAAATCTGAAATTTCTTGTGAGTAATATTCAGCTTGTACACCCTTAAAAATGTAAAAAGATGATTGATTAATTTCCTCAATCGACAGAGGGCCAAATTTTCTTCGACAGTTCTTCTTTGAATTGTTAATAAACCTAAGTACAAAAGCGAGACTCCTTTGCAATCGTGAAAACTTTGAGAACCTTACAAACATTGTGCCATGTACTTCAGTCTTCGTCAGAATATGCGACTTCTGTCGCTGCTCAGGAAAATCATTCAAATCAACAGAGACTTTCTCTGTTAAATTTCAATTTGGATCTGAAAGGAACTGAGGACCTTCAAACCAGATTTTGCAGT